AAAAAAAAAAAAAAAAAAGAGCAGTATAATGCACAGAGTGGTATTATATGTGCCCGCTTTACTACAGTTCAGAGGTGCAATTTGGCTAAAGTAAAAATGAAATACCGAATAGAAACTCCACATGATATGTTTGTGTGTCTAACATAACCTCCCTTTTTTTTCTTGTAATTCTAGTGTTAAGAGGAAGCTACATAATGACTGGGTTATGAAAATTAGGTATATCTCAGCCTTAAATTGCTTTGGATCCTGCTCCTTAGATAGTGTTCATTCACTAGTTTTGGAATCCTTGAAGAGACTTGAGGATAATTTGTAAGTACAATGGTTTATACACGTAAACATTCTGTGACTTTCAGACTTTTCACAACTGATAAGCCCACAGCAGCTGTGGAGCTTTCAACCTGGTTTTTAGAAAAATTAGATATTAATTATTCCATTTTTTTGACAAGATTAATTGAGGAAGTTGAAGTTACTCATGCAAATCTGAACATGACGTGTCTTCCTAGCAGTAATTTTGCTTATTTGTTGTTTATTGCTATAATCTTTGAAATAAATCAGTACAGGTGTATCTATAACTATGTTTTCCAAATAGAGTTCTACTAGTAAAACTTTATACTTTTAAAGTCATTCTTACAGGTCAACTGGCTGACCAATAGCCTGTGAGTATCTGTAGCACAATCATCATGTTCCATTTGTAATAAATACACAAAATGGCTTTTTATAGACAGGTGAATTTGAATAGTGTGTAGTCTTATTTTCTATCTGGTTATATATTTGTTAATATATAGTGACTGTAAAACAACTATTATATTTTAAGTTTCAGTTTTAAAAGATGCATTGAGTTATATGTTACAACATGGATAAACCTTTAAAACGTGATGCTAAGTGACAGAAGCCAGACACAAAAGACTGCATATTGAATGATTGTATTTACAAGAAATGTCCAGAAAAGGCAAATTTATAGAGACAGAAAGTATATCATGGGATGCCTAGGCGTGGTGGTGGGAACAGGGACCCCAAATGGGCACAAGAGAACTTTCTGGAGTGATGAAAATGTCCTAAAACTTTTTGTGGTGATTCTATGCAACTCTAAAAATTTACTAAAAATAATGAAATTGTACACTTACAAACGGGTGAATTTTATGATGTGTAAATTATACCTCAATAAAGCTGTCTTAAAAAAAAATGGGTGGAGACTTCCGGTTTCCAGTCTGGCATGTAAGGAGTTTAAAAGTCATCATTCAGTCATTCAGTCCTACAACAAGTAAAATACTAAACAAACTGAAAAATCAATAACTCTTCTTAGATCCTTCAAAGAAGTGAGGTCACGGCCCCCAAATTTGTAGAGACAGACAGGCAAATACTGAAAATCACAACTTACAGAAGCAGAAATCCACAAGCAGAAACCTCATGGGAAACCAGTACCAGGGTAGGGAGACTGAAACTGTAATTGACAAATTGCTGGGGGCTCAGGTAGACGAGTCTAAGAGTTAAAAGCTCCAGAGACCCAGTCATGGGGGTCCCCACACTTTTGTGAGTTTCTCACAATGAATATTGGACAAAAATCCTCTGCTTCTAGCAGAGGAAGGGGAAATGAACCGTTTTGAAATACACTAGAGCATTTTGTTCTTCTTAACAAGGTCTGCCCTCGAGAGAAACTATGTTACCAGAGCCTAAACTATTGAGGTTTTATCAGAGACTGATCAACCTGGGAAAAGGGAAATACCCAACTCCAGCCCACTCTAGCCTTCCTGTCCTCCCTAAGAGGGAGAGGAATGAGAAGCACCTGTGAGGTTCACATTGCAGAGGCACAGGTTCACTAAAAGACTGAGACCTAATCATAGACCGCTCCCCTCTTACAACTACATTATTAAAGGACTATTTACAGCAGTTCTTTTTATGTAGTACATCATGTCCCCCTAGCCAGAAAAAATTACAAAGCATACTAAATGGCAAAAATGCAGTTTAAAAAGCATTAGAACCAGACTCAGCTAAAGCAGAGATGTTGGAATTATTAGACCGGGAATGTAAAATAACTATGACTAATATGCTAAGGGCTCTAACGGATAAAGTAGACAGCATGCAAAAACAGATGAGTAATGTAAACAGAGAGATGGACATTTTAATAAAGAATCAAAAAGAAATGCTAGAGATTAAAAGAAAAACTGTAACATAAATAAAGAATGCCTTTGATTGGCTCAAGAGTAGACTGACAGGAGTGAGGAAAGAATATCTGAGCTTGAGGATATGTCAATAGACACTCTAAAAATGGAAAAGCAAAGAGAAAAATAATTGAAAAAAATGGAATAGAATATCCAAAAACTGTGGGACAACTACAAAAGGTGTAACATACATGTAATTGGAATGCAGGAAGAGGGGGAGAGAGAGAGGAAGAGAAGAAATATTTGAAGCAATAATGGCTGAGAATTTCCCCAAATTAATGTCAGACACCAAACCAGAGATGTAAGAAGCTCAGAGAAAACCAAGCAGGATAAATGCCAATTTGATTTCATACTACATTGGCAATTCATGATACATTCATAACCCTAAAGGAATATTGTGAAGATATATGCAAATATAATATGCCCTTGTGGTCCTATAGAAAGCATATTTTCTACTTCAACATCCAGAGAAAGGGTTTTCATTTCCTAGACACACAAATCTACAGCCATGATTTTAACAGGACAAATATATCCAATATGCTTACCAGGGTAGTTCTAACAGTTAATATGGCAACCAGAAATCTCTACAGGTCATGTAGTTCAGCCTTTAATCCAGAAGTGCATCAACTATTCAACAAATGTTTACTAAGTCACTATGTGTTAAGCACTGTGGACAATATAAATATGTTTCAGTCATGACCCCTGCCTTTAAATGCTTAAAATCTAAGTGGGAAGACAAGAAATATAGACATAGAATCAGTGGTATGCTGGAACCAGCTCACATCAGCTTCTGAGAGCTGACCGCTAAGATTTCAGGAATTTGGCAAACTTGTTGTTCAACACTGCCATCATTAAAAAATAAGCCCACAATTCAATTACATTAAAAATAAAGGCAATAGATACTCAAAACTCATCATTTCCTATTTATTTTACTACATTTTACTATTATTTATGCTTTTGAGGATTTTATGTCCTCAAGAACATAGAAGTAGTATATAATGGTGTGTAATTGTATATCTTTTCCCGACTCCACATTCAGAGATGTAACATTGCTAGTTTGAAATCAGCCATGATAAGAAAATTTATACCATGGAAAACAGGAAATATTGTAAACCAATGGTAAATGTCGTAAACAAATGGCACTCTCCCCTCTCCACTTCCCTGCCCCCAGCTGAATATGAAACATTTACCAGCACGCCACTGCATAGGATAATTTACATTGCAAAGCAGGGCATGTCAAAATCAGCTGAATGATTTAGGATTATAGGCATAATAGGAGTTCGGAAAAGGGAGTGATAAATGATAGTCCTCTAGCAAGCCCATAAAGATAAAAACAAGAAGTCCTATGTAGGGGACTATGTAAATAAATTTGGTAGTGATTTCATCAAACAAGAGAGTTTCCAACAGCCACAATAAACATACCTAGTCAGCTTTTGGATGAATGAAGTGACTTATTCCTTCTTAAAGAGTATCTTTACATTGGTATATTTAGTTGCCTGCCGTCAATCAAACATTACAAAATACCTTCATCTCTCCATTAGGTTGAATGTTATCAGCCCTCTCTTTGACTTTCTTCCCTCCCTACCCACCTGGACCCCAGATTAATCATGTGAACTCATATCTCACCAGCATTTGTCTTTGCCTTACACCCCTATATGTCTACTGCGTCAACTGCAAAATCCCTACCGTTCTGCTCAGTAGAGCCCTTGGCCCAGCCTCCCAATCCTTTTACACACCTTTGATATATTCTCTCTCCCATTCCCCTCAGTGACTATTCCAAACTTCAACTCCTTTCACTCTCCATGGATGTCCTGTTCTATTACAAGACCAAAAAACCCTGAGGCCTCATGAATAATTCCCCAACACCCCAGATCTTTCAGAATTTTTTATATCCACACCCATCCTTAAGTCTTCTCTTTTTGTTTCAGAGATTGAGATATCAAACCCTCCATTGGTGACCTACCACTTACTTCCTTTTCCTCCAGGATCTTGCTATCTCAGTTTCTCCCATTCTGTCACTTTCGACCTATAATGCTCAAGTCTCTTTTGATCTGAGTAATACTTTCCTTGATCTACAATCTCCTTTGATCTATCATACTACACTTCTTCTGGAAAGAGTGCTGTGCATTCGCTATCTTCACTACCTTGACATTACTCATTCCCTCTATAACCCTCTCTCTTATAGCCTCTCCCCCTTCTACTCTATAAAAAGGACTCTCACGTTGGCCAATGATGTCTACATTATCAAACCAGTGGAAACTTAACATATCAGATAGTCTCTGGGCATTCAGCATTACTGATCCCACCCACCCAGAAACTCTATTCTCTTAACTTTTGAGAAGCCAGAGTTTTCTCCTGGTATTTTACTGTTTTTTCTTTTTCCTTGTGATTCTTCTTTTTGTGCCTGCTCTTAAATGGTGGTGTTCTCTAGGGTCCTGTCCTTAGTCAACTTTAATTCTCACTTTCTATGCAATTCTTAGGTGATGTTCCTCTTCTCCAACATACTAATACCCATATGCTGATGAAACGCAAGCTATCTTGAATTTTGGACTTACATATACCTGCTCACCATCTCTACTTGGATATCTAATAGCCCCTTAAACTCATATGTTCATAACTGAACTTCACTTCCCCCCACTCTTAATCTCTGCCTGAGGCTGGACAGACCAAACATGAGAAGACCTGCATACCATGCTAAAGAGTTGGGATTTTAACCTGAAAGCTACAGGAAGCCACTGAATGCTTTAGACAGGAGAGTGATGAAATACGTGTTTTGGACAGATCACCCTAGAAGCAAGGTGGAAAATGGATTGGGGAAAGGCAAGCTGAAAAGAGGGAGACCAATTGGGAACATATAGCATTAGTTTAGAAAGGAAATGACAAGAGCTTGAACTTAATCAGTGGAAGCAAGGATGGAGAGAGAACAGATTCGTGTATAATTTACGAGAATTGGTGACCTACTGGATGAGAGGAATAAAGGAAAGAAAGGAATCTAAGTATCATTTTTTTTCATTCTCAACAATGTTTATTGCATACTTATTACAGACCAAAAACTGTTCCAAGAAGTGATATAATGGTATACAAGAAAGACTAACTCTCACCTCTCCTGGAGCTCATATTCTAGTGGGAGAAACATAGAATCAACAAATA